TTAATAACATGATAGTAATCATAAGATATACGGAATAATATTGATGAATCATGAAAAATAGAGCAAAGTATAAAGTAAAACAAAGAATAAACCATGAGGACAAACAAACACAATAATTTCAAGGACAAATCAAAATAAATTCAAAATTTTCACATGTAGCGATGTGTAATAATAATAAGCCGAAGACTGAAGCAATCTAAAGTGCTCAATATTCAGTAAACTAATAATTGGTAGTCCACAATTTACCTCATAAATGATTAATAATACAAAAAAATTAACTTTTCTTACGAACAACTATAGTATGCATTATGTAACGGCGAGATCTCATACAATTAATGGCACTTTTAATGCATTACATTTATATCAACAAAAGAGTAAATTAACAAATTAGATTATTTCGGTCTTAAGTTTCAAGATCGGTCAATTATTATTATTATCTTGTAACAAATCATCATCAGTGAATCATAATTTGTTTGTGTGTCTCTGAGTGCAATGAAATCTAATTATTTTATCATATATATTTCGAAAGAACTTAAATTATATATATCTATAACAAAATATTTGTGAAGCATATGAATTTTTGTTATGTATTTTCATTTTTACTTCTTTTTTATTAATAACTCGATACTAATGATATGATACTCTGAAACATAAACTATAAAAAAATAAATAAAATAACTCATAAAGATAAGAACAATAACTTTACTGATAAATCATAAAAATCGAAAGGTTTGAGATCTATAGATCTAACATCAGTGGTTTATAATATATTTGTGTGTATGCGAACGAGTGCAATGTATTTCGAATATTATATCATATGAATTTCTTTAGAACTTGTATCATCTATATAGAACAATAGAATTATGTATCATTTGGATTTTTTTGTTATTAATGTTTCATTTTTTTAAAGTTTTTCTAGTAACATGATATACTTATTATATGATTTATTGAAACATAATGACTCACTCCTGATGGTAAAAATTATAAACAAAAATAGAAAATAACCTATAACAATAATAATTTTAGTGATGAATTATAATAAATTCAAAGCTCTTATTTTATTTATCTGATTCATCATAGGTTTCATGATATCATACAATTTGTATTGTGTTAATGATAAAAAAAGATACTAAATATTAAAATGAAAAGTCGAATATAAAATTATAGAAATTCATGTGATTCGTAATCTTATTAGTACGTATATGATACAAGTCTTATTAATATATGTAAGTAATAATATTCAGAGTAAATGACGCTAATAAGAACATGTATGCACATATTCTGAACTACTGTTGATGAGTCTTTTAAAGGTCAAAAATGATTTAAAATGACTGTTTACAAATCCGCAGCTTCTGGAACTTATTTTTGGTAGACTTACGGTACTTTAGTAAATAAATCCCGAAATTCATTTCTTTTGTGAGCCTTATTGAAGTGTTTAGATAGATCCCGGGATTTATTTCTACGTTGAGACTTATGGGAATTTTTAAACAAGTGCTGCTACTTATTTCTGTCTTGGAATTCGTGTCTTCTCATTGACGAACATAAAGTCGAATTTCAAAAACTGTTATATTCAGTTTAAATTGTTGGTTTAATCTAAATTATTCAACTAGAAAAGACTCTTAAGCTTTTGATTTTCTTCGGTTAAGTTCTTAACAGTTTATTCTATCAATTTTAAGAAACACCTATTGTAGGAAGTAAGTGTGTGAGTGTTGGTGAACAGAGGATCCACACTTAAGTCCAATGGTCGTTCATGGAATTATCACGTCACAAAATATAGGTTTTAGAGTTGGATAGCGAGAAAGACAATAAAAGTCTCGAAAAATAAATTAAAAAAATATGATCAATACTAAAAGTAGTCAACAATGCAATTTCAGTCTTTTATTTCTTCCAGATATGTTAAAAACTACACGAACAACGGGATTGTACTTTTGAGCATGTTGAGATGCATAGAGAAATTAAACATTTTCCCAATTAATAGAAAGATAGATTCAATTGTTTTCTACTGTCAATTTTTCTTCGAACATCATAATTTTGCAGATCAGTTTCATGAAAAGAGAGCAAAAAAAAGAAAAAACATACATAAAAACAGAATTAAATACTCCATTATATTCACACAAAATGATTAAAAAAAACAAAGATAAAATCTGAATCTCATTCATAGATAGTGTTTTTGTTTTTTGTAGCTATGTAAATCTTGTGTCAAAAAAATTAAATTCTTGGTACAGCAATAGTGAGAATATGATATGAATGTACTAATCGTAATGTTACAATAGGTACTATAACATAGAGGATAGAACTTAGAAATTAGCTTCTGCAGTGAAAAATTGTTCGAAAAGATTTTAACAGGTATAATGAATCTAAACGGCACCATCGTTAGTATGTTATCAATATCGATTTTTTTTTGTACGTCAAACTTTTAAAATACAGAGTAGACAAGAAGGATAAGTGCGCATGACCAACGAAACATACTGCAAGATGTGGGAACATTCACTTAATAAAGATATAAGAGACATAAAAACAAAATAGTGCTCTGCTTTTGTCACCCATAAGGTATGTAGAAACAACGATTATCATATCAAATATCAACAGAATCATATATACATATAATGGTAAAATTGAAGTCGATTTGAAGCACTTCTCGTGTTATCTTTTCTAGGTTTAATGTCGAAATAACAAGGTATATGATTGAGCAGATGTTTTTGAAGCCATCAAAAACAATATGCCTACAGATATATTAAATAACTGATGTGCACAAAATTGATATTTGCTTTATTTCCTTCGTTATCGACTGATTGTTTCTAGTATCACTCGCCCAAAAATGGACTATCACTGTGTAATGCTCCATACAACTATGCTCGTTGTCCTGATCATCCTTCTCTCTGTCGACCAAAGCCACAGTTATACTGTTGCTGCTAATGTTCTCAAGAACGATATATCTTCTTCTGTAATGTATCAAAACATGCTTGAGAAGAACAAAGACGACGATTCACTACTTCTTCGACTTCGTCAACTAACTAAAGATCTATGGTATATCAGTGAAGCGGACTATCCTCTCGAACCTGTGAGCTTCCCAACTCCACTCAGCAACAAACGACTTATCGAATTTGCTCAACCACAGTCACCAACAGGAACACGTGTGGAACGACAAGATTTAACAGAATTCTTGAGATATTACACTTCAGAAGACAATGCGGAAGCACTTGGTGATCCAGCATTGACACGAAGGTTTCAAGCTTTGGAATCATTTCTAAAACGGGAACTAGAACATGTTTATGTCTATCGAGTAGGTGACGAACCAAGAATAGTCGTCTTGGCACTTGGAACGACAAAAGACGGACAACGACTTGTTGGCTTCCGAACTGTATCCATTGAAACATGAGATAGATATATAGTTTTGAGAACTAATAGTGAGCGTTTATTATATTAAATACAGCTCGATCATTGATCTTGGTCGTTTGCTTCGAATTTTCTTATCAAGAGCGATCCGTTTCCTCATGCAGCATATACAAAAACTGTTCAACAAATTGAAATTCAATTTGATTATCCAAAAACAAGTCATAAGAGATATACTCCATTGTGCTGATATTCATATTAGTGTCTGTGAATATAATCATCTTGTTTATTCTCTATTTTCCTCAGTCTTTCTCTTTTCTATATAAGCTCGTGTTCTAGTCAGAAATAGGCATCATCAAATGAGTCTAGTTCGTTATGAAAGACTGTCAAAGAACACGCGCAGGACTCTATAGACGTTGTTGGTTTGCCGCATTTCGTCGCTCAGAAAGTGATTCCAATCTCTTATCGTTTTTTTCTGCTCATTACATTCTCGCCTACCCATCGATCAATGTTTTTCTAAAACAAAACAAAACAAAGTTTGATATTCGTCTATGTATTATAAGTTGCGATATATGACATATATTGGGCGAATAACTGAATGCTTGTGGTTGTGGCAAAACAGTTTGAATCAAGTTATTTCGATGTTGAACGGGTTATGAGAAAAAGGAAACTCTGAGCATGATCAGACAATCTATCGCTCACGTCAGTTGTCATAAGTCAATATTTTTGCCGTATCCTTCTGTTTTAGATGTACGAAGCTGTCTACGACAAATCTCTCTGTGGCTCTATTGTGTGAATTTTCTCCTAAACTACACTCATACGTACATCCATACCCACGATTTCAATCTATCCATCACGATTCGTCCTATGTCAAGATATCATATCAACAGATCGAAAAGCACTGTTTATCTGTTTTGCCATGTGCAGTGGTTAAGCTGTGAAAAGAAATTTCTCATATTCTATCATACCATATTTTTTACTGACTATTTAAAGACTATAATTTATGCCTTTGTATCTCATCCATTTTGCGTGGCACTTGACGTTTAAAAAATGAATGAATCGAGCTAGATTGTATCATTCGTTGCTTACTGTTTGTAATATTTTAATTGAAAAAAAAAACAAAAAAAACGTATTCCGATCAAATTTCCTTTTTATCTGAATGATGATTAAGATAGATTGAAAGATACTTTGTGCGAACATCGATAGGATAAGCTATTTGACATCGTAGGAATGTTGAAAAATGGTAATTGTAATACTTTCACTGTATAAATCACTACTTTTCTTCTTCTTTACTCTGATAGCCATCGCAATCGAAGCTCAAAGAGCATTAGTCTCTGGTTCGAGTCACTGAACAATTTCAGAAAATGTATGCTGTCTTATGTCTTATAATTATGTTGCTGACAGGTAATATTACAAAAGTAATAATACTACAGACCTGAATCCCATGTCTTTTACATGATGAATTATTTTCTTTCTACAAAACATGCTTTCTTAAAGAAACCTACATGATTTGGATTGTTCCGTCTTGAAAAATATCTTTCAAAACTGAGTTCTTCTACTTTAGGGAGAGAGTAGGCAGAATTCTATTACATATGTTTGCATCATTATCTCTCTGCCTATGGCAGATCAGATTTCAACAAGCAATTGCTACGGCTGTAAAAACAACCATGACAGCAACAGACAAAGGTTCCAATGAATTAGTCAAGTCTCGACTAGAAAATGATCGTTTCATAAATTCATTCAATCCTCAATATAAATTGCCTCATCTAGGGCTTGCTTTAATATGGAAGATTACTTCACCAGACAATACACGATTGCCATCTAATAAAAAAGAACTTGATAAAATTTTACCCGTTATTCGACATGAAAAATCCGAAGAATTATATTTAACAAAACCCGCTTTACGATTTATTTGGATTGGACATGCTTCATGTTTTATTCAAATGAACAATTTTCGATTCTTTGTCGATCCAGTTTTCAGGTAGATGCTCACTATCTCTCTCGTGTTCTTTTAAAAAAAACTGAATGATTATAGAAAACAATGTGGTATAACAGACAATGGTTTCTTGATAATCATATAAAAAATGTTGTCGAACTGGATTGGTGGGAAGAATATTATTTTTCAGTAAGAAAAGAATCATTTTGAAAACTTTTTTGTAATGCATATTTTTGGTTTATGTTTTAGAAAAAAGAAGTGAACATTGCTTTTTGTCCAGCTCAACACTGGTAATGTTCATTGATTTTTTTTGATAGTAATAAAACATTCTTTTACTCTAGGAGTCGTCGTACTGCATTCGATTTAAACAAATCTTTGTGGGGCAGTCATGCTGTCTGGGATACTACACATAAATTCTACTTTATCGGCGATACAGGTTATACTCATAACATTTCAATTTTTCGACAAATTGGCAAACACTATGATCCATTCGATTTAAGTGCTATACCGATCGGTATTTATGAACCACAATGGATAATGCAAGCTCAACATGTGTCACCAGATGAAGCTGTTCAAATACATATTGATGTTCAATCAAAAACTTCGATTGGTATTCATTGGGGTACATGGGCATTCGCAAATGAATATTTCATGGAACCACCTAAAAAACTTGCTCAAGCAGTTCAAATAAATCAACTTGATCCGTCATCATTTGTTGCAGGTAAACATGGTGAAATTTTTGACTTACCTTAGTAATACTAATGCATCATATGTAACTCGTTGTTGTTTCACTCATTTTAATGTCCGTAGTTTTAATCGTGATGATTAAAAATTGAATCACCTAAAATTTTGAAAAAAGGCATTAGAAGAGTGTGAAAGAGACATGGAGCAATACACAGAGAGAAGAAAGAAAAGGATCAGAACGATCATCGTTCGAAAATGGCAGTGATGATTCAATGAGCCACGACTGGAGCCGAACTCAATAAATTAGGATAAGAACTAAAACAAGATATTTACCTTATCAATATAAACTGACAAGAATAGTTCATATTACGATAAGCGTCAGATATTAAAGCTTTATAACAGAAAAATAGTATTCGAAACAACTAAAGGTATATTACTCTAAAATCGAAGATCTATGTTCATGGAGAACAGAACGATGATTGCTAAATGAGGTCAAAGTCGATTCGATTACGATCTTTGTTGCAGACCAGACTTATAGATAACAAGTACAATATGACGTTGAACAATCAATATTTAGACAAACAAGGTCATTAGTTATCTCATTGGATCAGAGTGCGTTTGGTTCTTCTATTCGATTTGCTTGTCTACATTTACGTCTATCATTTATAGGTAGGCTCGAAACCAAATGATTTTTGCACACGATGTTCTTTGGTCCATGCATAAATTGAGCATAAAATGCAATGTTGTAATCATCTCCTTGTTTCGAACGTTTTGTTTTGAATGTACACTCAATATATTTTATATATAATAAAGGTGTGGCTGTGGGTTAAAGAAGAACTATACCTTCTCTCACATCCACTCCATACGCACGCCCTGTTTCTTTTCAAGACTTTTATCAATATTTACATCTCTTGAATAGTTTGATTAAGATATAGTGGTAGAACCGAACATGTTTGATGATGAATAGATTTAAGCCTAATTCGACATACATCGTATGATGGTTTGGTTTCTGTTTATATATCGTAAATTCATGCACAATAAAGGATTTTTTTCTCGATTGCAAATAATATAAGATTACATTATTTCAAAATCATGTATGTCATTTAATCATGTTTTATGAAATGTCAAGTTATCTGAGAATATTTAAACATTGGATGAAAATTATCAAACATACTGGAAAACACGTACATTACTTTTGCAGAAATCATGTTAAACATGGAGAAAAACCAGGAGACAGAAAAATCGAGATTTATTGACATGAAAAATAATATCGACAGAGAGAGATTAATAAGACATGTTTGTCTTCACATTCATTTATACAAAATACAAAGCGTACCTATTGATGTTATATTATTGCTTTCATCCTTCGAATTATGTCATCATAAAAAAGTAGGAAGACAAAAAGAAGATTTTTAATTCATATCGATAGATTACTGTTAATATATGATTGAAATAATTCTTAACTAAATTCATAATTTTTCTCTAATTAATATATAGATGTTTATTACAATTGTAGATAATGTTGAAAATGGCATTATCTATCGTTATCTTCTTTACAGTTTCAATATTAATCAATGGATCACACTATCGAGGTGGCTTTATCACATGGAAGGTTTGATACTAGCATAACAGATTGTTCTATTCACCTGATGTCTATATTTCTTTAGCCACAATATCCTCATATTATTAATCAAAACCCAGTGGCCATCATTCTTAAACAACGGCATGTTTGGAGGCGCTCTTCAATATTTTGCAATGATATCACGATCACTACTAAGGGTCTAATTGGTGGCGGTAGTGTTCATTGTATTTCGACATGTTCTACCACGGGTGTTCTCGCTTCTGTCAGTGCTCCGTGCGTTGCATACAGTATAAAGAATGATTGGAGCGTTGGTGAAGTATCTACAGTTATCAATGTATCAGCCAATGTAAAATTTGAAGCAGCCTTTCAAGGTTTTCGTTTCTTTTTTTTTAAATAATTTTTGCAATTTTTGTACACTCATAGGTGGTTCTTGGATCAGCACATTGGATGTTGGTGCTGGTGGCAGGTGGTCTATATCAGCGGAAATAACGACGATTCCTCGATCAGATGGTACGTATAAGAGGTTTCAATGGATCCGACCGAAGAAAGTCGGCCTATAGACCGTCGATATTTGGCCCGTCCCTGGTCATGACTTTTTTTCTTAAAAACCGGCTCATCCATGAGCGTTCGTGGGCCGGTCATCTAACTGCATTGGATAAATTTTAAACATATTGGTGAGCAAGCATATTTTGAGTACCGGTTGTTGATATATACAAAAAAAAATGTTCGATAACATATTTGTCAACCTACAAAACCTTCAGTTCGTTTGAATTCAACAGGATTTTTCAGGGTTTTTAGTTGAAAAAGCAAAAAACATTGCAGCATAAAGATTTGTTTGATCTTCAACTTGGTGTAACAACATATGTCAATGGTTGTTGTTTTAAAAGAACGAACCTATCGCTTACATTCTTCTTCGGTGCTAGTATTTGTTTTTTCTTCTAGCTTTTTTCAAGGTGTTCTAAGGACATGAGATCAGTATAGCAGAACTTGGACATTTTTAGTCTTAACAAAAACATCACTTTCAAGGAATATTGAGTACCCGCTCTTCTATATTGTGACCTATATATCATGCGCAGTTGCATGATTTATGGCTATACGTTTACTCCATATACAACTGAAGATTCTCTGTAAAATAAAAATAGAATCACCTAAAATAAATTATTTATTAACGAGTACTGTCTATCATTAAAAAGTATTCAGTTACATACTTAATATTTAACACATCAGAACAATTGTTTAATCTATGAGATTAGAATGATTCACCATGACAAATTGAAGTTTATATATTAGTATAATTTCATAGTCTGTCAAAATAACAAAAAAACGATTACTAACAGTGAAAATGTCTAATGTTGGATGTGTTATTTCATATCGTCATGCCACTGGCAGCCAAAACATTGTTAAATAATAGAAAAACTAACAGGCAGGCATGGGCATAATTCATAAAAAAAGTGCGATTTTCTTAGATACCTTCGGGTGTATACTGCTTTATGTATGATGATGAATCAGCACCGGTAGCTGAAGAAACAATGTCAATTAAAATTTGATGATTGAGAAAGTTCAATAGAAATAGAATTAGAGTTAGAAAAGCCATTGATGATTATGCTATAATTGTAGATGAACAAGGTACACTAGATAACGGCATTGTCTTGCATATAAAGAAAGCTTTTTAAGGTAATGACCATTTTATCCTTTTCTTTGTTTTGCTTTATATAACTACTGTTCGCTAAAAAATTTTTTTTATTCAATGGAAGAATTACGTGAGATTTTAAAAAATTTTATTAGAAACAGGCAATATCTTTTGAAAATTTTATATTTTATTTAAAAATTCAGTTGATGGGCGCCTATTGCAAAACCCAATGAACCTGGCTTAGCCGAGAGGTTTTCTATCTACTTCACAGATAAATCATATAATTTTCAACAAAATAAAAAAGTAAAATTGAACGATGGTCTGCCGAGAGAAACTCATGAATAAATACATATGCGTAATTTTTATCAACTTCAATCATTGCATAATTATCTAGGTACATATAATACACCACCAACGAGCTCAATGTCATCTATTAAGTTATTGCGTGTTGGATCCAAATACACATGGAAAATACCAGTGGTGGATACCGATGGAGATGTCGTTCGTTATCGGTGGGCTCGAAAAGGACCACCTGATGAATGTGCTGCGTTCGTATATTTTTCTTTGGTTTTTTTTTGTGTCAAGTGATTTTACTTTTTGATAGTGTGTGCAATGGACTTCCTAATGCTATCTTAAATAAGGAACCATGCACTATTACTTATACAGCAACAACAACAGGTTCTTGGGTAGTAGCATTGAAATTCGAAGATTTCGAGTTTTCATCACAGACAATGCCTCTCTCAAGCACATCTTTACAATTCATTGTCATTGTTTATTTAAGCAATCATAGCTGCAGAACACGTATATTGAATAAAGAATGACGAATAATCAATGATCGGTATTTACGCCTCTTGAAATGTTTTCTTCAAAATCAAATATATCACTGAGCACAGCAAAGTAATTTCGACATTTCTACATTACAAAAACATTTCTTTGAGACTAAGCAAACATTTGAGTGGAAATTTCTTCAATTTGTAGTGACAAAATAAACATATATCGCTGATGTTATGCAAATTGATCTATTGTATAAGTTTGAAAAACTTTTCATTCATATTTTGTTTAGTCTTAAAATAAAGTCATGCAAACCAAAGAATTTTTTGTAATACCAAACTCTAGTTATTATTTTGCTGTACTCTGTGATCATAGGCGGCGAAACGATTTCAAGCTAGAGTAGGCTTAAGTTGAGTCTACACACATGCTTTTACTTACTCAGCCAAGGGGGAAACGACGGACGTGAAGTAGAAAAGTACGCCAAAGTAGACTACTTGGAGTAGCTCAAAGTACCACCCAAGTAGTCCAAAGTCAGAACAAGTAGCTTAAAGTAACTTCAGGTAAATTTGAAGTTGAACAGTACTTCAAAGTAAGCTACTTCAAGTAGCTGAAAGTAACTTGAAGTAGCTGAAAGTAGCTGAAAGTAACTTGAAGTAGCTGAAAGTAGCTGAAAGTAACTTCAAGTCCAAAAGTCCGCCGTTTCCTCCTTGTACTCAGCCCTAATGACTTGACCTCTTATATTTATGATTGGTTTGATTTTGAATAAGGTATATCAAGAAGCGACAAGTTGCTAATATCGATCATTCATTAAGTGTGACTCGTTATTTCGTACATATACAACAAAAAAATAACGTTTGTGTTTTTTTTTTGCAAAGCGCCTTTCTATTGTGGACAACCACAAGCAGGTTCATGTATTTCTGTTAATACTGGTTCAAAAATTAACGAAATTGCACAGTTTTCAATTGGTTGTGCAACAACTACTGTGATAGAAGTTGATATATACAAGCCTGATGGTAGAAATAATACGAAAGCAAAAAATTAAATCTAAAGATGTTTCTTTTAGGCATGATGGTTGGTCCTTTAAAAGTAAATCCGTCAAACTCCTCTTTATATACAATAAGCATAACCTGGACACCAACATCAATGGATATAGGCACTAATCTTCTTTGTTATACCCCTGTAGGCTAATACTCTTCATAATTAAATAAGAATCTTTCTATGTCTGTACATTAGTTGGATGATAGGAATCAACAAGGCGATCAAGTATGTATTAAATATTTCGTAAGTGATAATGATTCGAAATTTGCTCGTTTCAAATATATAAATGGTAATTCTATTTATCTCTTGATATAATAAATTAAATTATAATTAAATACAGGAAGTATGAAACCTGTTGGTCAAGTTTATTCAAATCAAAGTGTTTGGTATATTGAATATACTAATGAAGTTCGTCGACCTAGTTTAGATGCATATGTTCATTTTTATTCCAATTCAACAAACAAACAAGTTCATCAAATTAATGTTCGAACTAATTTAAAAGATGTTATTTTTTCAAAGAATACTCTTACTTTTTTCACTTCGATTAACTGGATTTTGGTATGTCATCATTTATTTTCTTGATTTATGTTAATTATTATATTATTTCTAGGGTGAACATTATTATATTCTATTAGACAGGTAATTCAGATAATCGTATTATCTATTCATTCAATTTCCATTCAATAATGTTATGAAAACTAACGTGAATTTCTCGGAAAGGAGTTTTACTAATACCTGCATTCGTCATGCGGAGCACTGCTAAATGTATCCCTTTTCGATTATTAAGCTTTTCTTCTCCATAAATTGGTCTTCAAATGAGATGACTCGTGATTAGACCCACGGGAAAATTTTTCAAGAAAAAAACTGCGGTTTCATAAACCGCGAAAGTCAGACCATTTATGCGGTTTTTGAAACCAACGAAAACCGCGGTGAGAAGCGAGAAAACCGCGGTCCGAGCTGAGCTTGTGCAGGTCCAACCGCGGTTTTTTTCGGAAGAATTTTTCCGTGGGTAGCATCTATTCTATCTATTCAGATATCTCTTAAGATTTTTTTAATCTTCAGATCAAAATAAAGTTTAATACCCATTTTTTTCTCTTCACTTAGTTATAATTGCCACATAAATCTAAATTAATAAAATGCTCCCAAAGTTACGAAAAGGATAATTTTTGTACATTAAATTTGTTTTTACAATTATGATTTCGTACCTACAAGGTTTTCTCTGTGAAAAATTGAACAATAAAATTGAAATTTAATAGATAAAAGTGCAATATGCGTTTTATTCAGAAGAGAAATCTCTATCAGCAGTGTTCCAAACTACCCCATCTCTTTCAGAAAAAGTCATATGCCTCATTCTAATAGAATTAGTACCGCATTTGAAAACTAGGATGTGGCAGCCGTGGCCATGCATATAAATGAATGAGAACTTCTTACAAAAACTAAACTAAAACTAAGCATATATGAAAAGAGATGCATATCATTTATCTCATCATAATTCACTTTAAATACGTTACAGAAAACGTCTTCATATAAGCCTTCATCTATCATGTTTAGTGTTATAACAAGATAAACATAATATGAAATAAAAAAACAATCGTTTTATGTGACATTGAATGTTCTGGTACTAGTACATTCATAAAAACTCGCTCGACCATTAACAAGACTGATTTCGCTTGATATAGACATACATTATCTTGAGGGTTAGGACGAACCCGATCACGTGAGCTATCACTTCCTTTATGGCTTTTTTTCTGAATTGATTGGTTATTGAATGAGATTCTGGAAAACTCATCAAACAAGTCGAATCTAATCTTGGAAGCAGAAGTATATCAAGTAGAAAGTTACTGAAATCGAACGTTGAAATCGTTATCCTCTAAAGATGGAGGATGTATGTCAACTTTCATAAGAGACCATTTATAAATCTAGTCATTACGGACTTTATTTTATTTTTTAGTAATAACATGCAAATAAAATTTAAAGATGTGTCTATTGCAAATTATGCTTTATTCTTACTTTTAGGTCAGTTGTCACTGATCCAAGTGTTTGTGGACCACAAAGTCCACCTGTTAATGATGTCAATTTTTGGACATTTGAAGTACAAAGTGAAGGTGAAAGCGAGCTTGTTCTTTCACTGTTCTAACATTGAATACCTCAATTCTAAATCATTCGAATTCTTGTTCTTTCATGAATGGTGCACTTGCCTCCTAAAGAAAACTTCAAATAATTTGATAATTTCCGACAAAAGTCTATTGAGAATCGTCGAATCCCTTGTGACAGAATTGTTATAGGACCTTGTTTGATCCGACAGATGAAAAGCATCAGATGAACTAATGATCTAGTAGAATCTCGCTGATTTTAGCCAATGATACAATCTATTAAGAACATTACCATTAAGGTAAACAGTTGTATATATTGTCATAAACAACCCCGTTCGGCATCGTTATTTATTGTAATTGATTGGCATACAGTCATGGACAACTATGGGAATGAACCTGAGTTGATAAAAAACAAAGTAATATAATTGTAAAATAATAATTTATCAATAATTTTTTATTGAATTGAAATCTAAAAAAACGAGATGACATTGATAAATGAGACACTAGTTTAGAAAAAGCTTAACATAGTCTTGGAGATGTGAATTTCTAGTATTTCATTTAAATAATATCTTATTAAACAAAGGCTTACGAATCATCCTAGACTTTTAGTAAAACAGGATCTAAAAGAATTGTTAACATGCATAGGGTAGAATTTTTGAGCTTTCTTTCTCTCCACACAAGTTACAGACGTTGTTAGTATATAATCGAAAAAGTATAGTAGAAAGCGACCGGATCCAGAGAATGTCTGTCAATTTCATGACACCAAATCTCAAATCGGTTCCCTCCTCAGTTTTCGACCTAATTTCGATGATTTCCTGCACTCGAAAACAATGAACAGATGCCATTCTTATTTTCCGCACGATTCGGACTAGGCATATGCTTATCTATCGCAACAAACGAACATAGATCGGATTCGGTCGTTTTCAAAATCACATCCTGTTCTGCCCACCGTCTAGATTCACTGTAGTTACTCATACTCATCTCTTTTTAAACATTTGACCATCTTTCATTATCTATCTAGTTGAAAATGCTACCTTTTCCAGTAAAACCATGTACGCCTCTCCGTGTACCCTCTTCTTTCGCCAAAGTTATGCAAAACATCTTTGCTGACCTTATGATAAATATAATAAAACATTATAGTAAGTACGCAGTAGCAAGACAAAAAATGAGGGTAAGTGTGTGACTGTGGTTGTATAATTCATGTACCCCACCCACACCTACATGAAATTCATGATGGTTAAGCATGTGAATCTTGCTATAGAAAAGGATACTACTAATATGTTCCCAACAACCTCTACTATTCCTGTGTCCGCAACAATACCAACCACTAATCTGTCCCAAACAATATCATCCACTACTGTGTCCCAAACAACATCATTCACTACTGCCTCCCAAACAACATCATCTATTACTGCGTCCCAAACATCATCAACCATTAATGCGTCCCAAACAATATCCACAACTACAAAGGCATCTGTCAACGAAAGTAATCATTGAATATGATGTAAAAGAATTTCTGAATATATTGTATTGAAGGTTGTTTTCGACCGAAAATAAGATTAATTCCAAGTGGAACATCGTTATCATCACCATTACAGTTTCGTCGAAGTCAAGATTTTTATATACTTTCAAAAATTGGACTTAATTGTAATGATTCACTAACAACAACTACAAAATGGACAATAAATAATTGCTCATTGGAATGTTCATCACCAGTTCAACTTGATCAAACAATCATAACGAATTTTAGCGAACTTTTTATTCCAGCACGAACATTTCCATATGGACTCTATGAGTTAAAACTAACAGTTACAATGAATGCTTCACCAAATTGAACTTCATTCGCGTCTGCTTTTGTAAGAATCACACCATCAGGTATAGCAGCAAATCTAGTTCCATTAGGAATTACGATGATTACACATGGTTATCAACAAAATTTAATATTGGATCCAGGAAGCTATTCTGTAGATCCTGATCAAAATAAATTTGAAGCAACTGTAAGTTGAAAATCAACTTTTGAATATTGTTGAACATGTTTGATATTTGAAATAGCATTGGACTTATGAATATTACTGTCGAATCTATGGGATCTCGAGTTTTCAAAGTTTAGCAATATCGAGTGATGCTGAGAAGCTATTATGTTTTGAAGGCAATGGAATATTATGGAATTTTAATGAGATGTCGACGGCACCAAACTCATCGTTAATAATAACTGCTGGTTCACTTTTATCAAATCGAACTTATCAATTTATGGTACGTATGGAAAATCGTCAAATTTCTTCAATTCAAGTTACAGGATTTGTACTTGTCAATGTTGTTGATACTCGTTCTCCAGTGATTGCTGTTGCGTAAGTTATTTCGTTAATGTATGAAAATTAATTAATTTCATTTTGACTCAGATGTATTATTTCAAAAATGTGCCAACAAAATTTAGAATATCAATAGCTCAATCCAACAACACAAGTAGCACTTTACTCTATTTGTACTGGTAATTGTACAAAAATTTTAAGTATTATCTGGAATATTTATCAAGGTACGATTTTATCTTCAAATATTATTCAATGGAAAATGTTAAATGAAATAAATACTTATGAAAATATTTGGTTTTATGGTAGATAATTTATTACTTTTTAATACATTGAATAATTTTATTATGTTAGGGAGATATACAAAAAATTTTACAGCAACGAAACAATTATTGATTCAATATCCTCATATTGAATATTGGCGATTTGAAGTTATTTATTCATTTTTTTCAGAAACAGGTTCCAGTTCATTGAATTTTCTTATAAATCATCCTCCTAAAAATGGTTCTTGTTCGGCCAGTCCACTCAAT